AGCGGGGGCGTGCCTGCGAAGCCTGAGAGACAGCTGTAATCGTCGTCGCAATAGTAGTAGTAGTAGTAGTAGTAGTAGTAGAAGTAGTAGTAGTAGTAGTAGTAGTAGTAGTAGTAGAAGCAGTGGTAGTGGTAGTAGTGGTCGTAGTAGTCGTCGTCGTAGTAGTAGTAGCAGCAGTCGGAGTAGTGGTCGTAGTAGTCGCCGTCATAGCATCAGTAGTAGAAGTAGAAGTAGCAGTAGCAGCACCGCCGTAGCGGCAGCGGCGTAGTAGCAGCAGCATCAGCAGGAGGTGTGAGAAACACAAGAAGCACAGATTCTCGGGCTTGGGATATGGAACTTCGCAAACGGTCCAGGTTGTTGAATATGTTTGCAGAGAGCATGAAGCCTTTCACGCATTCCAGCACAAGACCCTCGACAAATGCACTGAGGACAGGGCAGCTCTCTGTACCTCGACTACATCAGTCCCAAAGCAGAAGGGCTGTAATTGCATGACCGACTAGTGGTTGCCAAACTATGCTATGCTGGAGCCGCAAACCGATGCCACCCCCTCGAAACAAAATGCACAATAACTAGTTCCTGCAACTCCTGACGATGTTGGAAATTGTATATAGTCGGCCCCCCCGTCTAGACATCTGAACAGTTGGACATCTACTTGAAGACGATGTAAGCCTGAGATCGTATACCTCACAACATGAACCTGAATCGCTTAGGGGTCTGTGCTGCCTTTGGATCTGTAGAAAAAGCACGGAGAGCGCACCAAAAGCCGATGGTTGTTTGGTGGAACGGCACTTGGATCTCTCGAGCCCGTTCGAAGTTGAAGTTCCTGCCGGGTCACCGCTGAATGTTATTGAATTATTTTTTGTCACGTTTTGTCAGAGTACCAAGAGAGCCGCCATGAGCCCTCAACCTTGAGCGGCGAATTTGAAAGCAGTGCATTCTGAGTCGCGCAGCGGTCGCTCTTGCAGCGCGCGGAGTCGGCAAAGCAAGGCGGCGCGCAAGAGAGCACATGTCTTTGGCCGAGGTCGGTGATATGGTTTGCTGAACCGCTGCGGGCTATAATGGCCATGGTAGTGGTGGCTTTCTTCACCATGAGTGTGATGAGACTAAGAGCTGGAACGAGCGAGATGCGGATGTCATGGTGGCCTGAAAAAAGCCGGTGCTATGCATCCGGACCTAAGATACAAGGCCTGAAGTCTCTGGGTATCTAGGCGGCCTGCATGTCATGACGATTCTGGAAAATTCTTTTTACAACCAACGAAAACAACGAAGCCTGCGTCCCATCGGACCTGGGATCCCAGCCACTGCATTCAAGGAGACCACGTTGGGCACAAGGAGCCGCCGATTCATCTCCTTCGTTCGGAGTGGTCCCCACAAGTTCTGGGATGTTGTCTATGCTTGAGACCATGGATGTCTGAAGGGTTCAGGGAAATTCAGTCGTAGCTTTCAGACTTGGATACTGCTTTTCAATTTCGGAAAATGGGTCTCATGGTGCCAGATTAATAGGTGCCGGACAGATAGCCAGCACTTTTCCCAACCGCGACAGTATAACCGTGACGAACGAGTTTTCAACTAATTGCGCATAATTGCGCATTAGCGCCAAAAGACAACGTGATGTGACACACGGTAGCTCACCAATATGATGCTGGAAAGGCTGAAGTGAGCTCAGGTAACCCTATGATATGATACAGCAATCTACTAAATAACGAGAACAGGTTTGCAACAGTAGTGTTCATAATGACTTTACAGTGTCAGAACTTATTGCAGCTCCAGTGCTGGTCTCCTGAATCAGGCTCAAAGCCTGGGGCCACCAGCGCCCTGGCAGGTTTTTCCACGTATTATGGCCACACAGCGGCTCAAGGGCAAAGTATTTAGAGTTTGCATTTCAGTTTAAGTGAATGTGGTGCCTGAGGTCGCAAGCCAAGCTGGGGAAAGGAGGGTAGCGGTTGTGAAAGCGCACGAACCTTGGGGAGCTTCAAGACTGGGGTTCCCTGCAAGATCTAAATCGAAGGTGTTGAGATCAACGGCCGCAAGAAGTCCATGTGAGTTTTCCTTTCCAAATAAGACCAATGCACTGTTGGGGCTTTACATATACGGTCCCTCGTGATGCCAATTGAATAGCATCGTGGCACTTGTTCGATAAGCCAGCAGCGAGGGTTCACAAGTATGGGGCACAATGCACTCAGTGCACTTGTCAGTCCCTTCGTCCATTCACCACACACAGACTTAGAACAAGGATGGAAAACTAAGGGAATGCCCTTTACATGATGCTCTGACGAGCAGCTTTCCACGTGTCTGGTAGCACGTAGAAGCCGCCAAAACGGACTGCTCCCAGTCCCATGTAGGACATGCCCGAAAGTGTTTGGGGTGAGAAGCAGCTTGACACCTCCGACTCCGACGGTGAGAAAAGACAAAGTCCGGCCAATGCATGTTAGGGTAAAGACTCTTCCTGCAGGTAGCGTTCCGCTGCCCAGCAGTCCGCCAGACGTTTCTGGAACCCAACTGTAATTCGGGCAGCTAGGTGCAAGTAGGTTTCACGTGTTAGCTTGCCGGACTTCAAGAGGTTGTCCAGCCACCACCCATGAAATGCTCAAAGTCCGTGTAGTTGAGTCTGGGCTGCCTGCATGGTCACAAGCCGCAAAAACATGACTACCAGAACCCGCATGGCTTAAACAAACTTCTCGAAATCGTTATGCTAGGAATGCCCAAGCTGCATGGTTCCGATCTTGTTGACAACAACATAAAAGTGGCCATACCGCACGGCTCCCATGCAGGACTTGCCACATGCCATGTTCGAGGTGAGGTGCGGCTTGACACAAAGATGAAAATGTCCAGGGCCTCACGCCTACCGCGGTAGAGCCTCTTTCCCAAATGGAAGTAGGCATGCATGTGTACCGGCCTTGGTGATGCACGCTCCATGGTAGCCGACGTGCCAAGAGCATGAAGAGCTTCTGAGAGTCCGAATAAAAACCAACGAAGCGGTTGAACAATCTCCGCAAGACGTCATCTTCACGCGAAGCCCACTCGCCTTGACTGCAGTTGTGCGTCAACTGTACTGCAGAGAACTTCCACACTTGTTGTCGGCCGGGTTTTGAACGACTGGTGGCTGAACATGTGGGTACGTGGCTTGTAAAGCTGTCGTAGCTTCGACCACTTGCTTACGTACCTCGTCATATAATTGCGAGTTCAATAAATCATCGCTCAGCGTTTCGACTTTGACTCGGGGCGTCCTTCAGCGTGAAGCTTGCTGGCTGTAAGCCTGACAGTTGGAAAAACGGGCATGCATGTGTACCTGCCTTGGTGATGCACGTTCCATGGTAGCCGACGTGCGAAGAGCATGAAGAACTTCTGGGAGTCCGATCAAAAAACCAGCGAAGCGGTTGAACAATCGTCATCTTCGTGCAAAGCACATTCGCCTTGACTGCAGTTGTACGTCAACTGTACTGCCGAGAACTTCCACACTTTGTTTTCGGCCGGGCCTTGCGCGACCTGCGGCTGAGAATCTGGTTGTGTGTATAAAGCAACTGTAGCTTCGACCACCTGCTGTCGTACTTCATCACATAGCTGAAGATTCAATAAATCACGCTCATTTTTTCGACTTTGGCTCGGGCGGCTGCGTCGTTGAGAGTTTCTCATCCATCTTCAGTTGGGCCAGTGCCCGGCAGAGCATAATGACCCAATGCACCGCGCCAGACTGAGATTGACATCCTGGGTTGAAGGCTGGCTCGTACGACTGGAAGGCCGCCGATTTTTACTGTACTGCAATACCTGTGGACACCTTGCCAGCTAACTCAGAGGACTGATGCAAGCCACAGTACAATCTTGCAAGTCCCCCTCAATGCCGACGACGTACCGCATCGTCGAAGCCCTTTTGTGGAACTTGGGAAGTCAACGAAGACGCTTGCAACGCCTTGCAAGGTTGACGGAGCAAAAGGAAGCGCCAATAACCTCCCATCTGAAACAGAACTGTTTTGCGGCCCGTCCTGCTACAACCCTCAAAAAGACCAGGGCTTGGAAGCAGCTCTTTACCTCCGTTTACTCTAATGCTCAGGCCAAGGCAATCCCCTGATTTTCCAAGTACACCGCAAGGCCTCGAATCTCCTCCTGCTTGAATTTGACGTACAGAACGGAGGATGGAGCCAAGACCCTGTTCCTGTTGCCGTGGCTCCCAGGCTAAGCCCGAGAAGTGCGACAGCTTCCAAAAGTGAAAGGAGAGCCCCGCCAAATGCACAGATGCAGTTCCAGAATCCTCAAGGTATTTGTCCGGGCTGGTACCTTGGCACAAACTGGTCGCGGCTCTGGGTTTGGTCTGCTGAGGCTTCTCGGATCGAGACAAACTTGTACATCACCTCCTCTGCAAAACACATGAAGCTTGGCTTTAAGCTTCTTAGATCAACAGCAGGTTCAACCCGGAAGCCAGATCTATCAGCCGCAGAACCTGCTGCTTGATCCTGAAGGCTTCAACCACAAGACCCGCTACCGGAATGCTTTAGCTTCAAACCCTGATATGTAAACATATGTGAAATTGAGGGGCATGGGATACGCACACTCGCGGGGCGCACTGGCGGAAATTGCATCCACATCCTCTTTCGTAAGCTCCTTGGTAAGGAATACCCGGAAACATGTGGAAACAAGCTCGATGCATGGACACGAGAAGTTCCAGCAACGGAGGCGAGAGAAGCGCACTACATTTACTATGTCATCTATATGCATGTGCATACACACAGGCAGTGTATGTGCAAAACGAGACTACAGCGCAGAACAATTCTATTTTCCACCAAGTTCAAGCGCAGGACACTGACATCTGTACTTGCAAGATGCAAAACTTCCCTATTGGGTTGCCCATCTTCCAACTTTGTGGACATTAAGCTACTTCCCACTTCAATCTCATCGGCAGAATGGAACTTCAGACCAATGCTCACCGGCTTTGGAAATCCAGGACCCAGAATCTTTCACTGTAAACCCGACCTGACGGCAATGAAACCTTTCTTCTCAAACTCCTGCTGTGGCCGTGCGACGAATCGAAACAGATCCAGGTTCGCGGCCATGTGTTTCACCGACGATGCCTGAGGCTCTTGAGCTGTGCGCCAAAAACCCGTTCGCAATGCCCCCCCTCCCCCCCCTTCCACGGCGACGACGACTACTCCTATTTCTTGATGGGGGGGGAGAGGGGGGGGAGGGGGGGGNNGGGGGGGGGCTGTTGGACCGCAGAGGGGAGGGGAGGGGGAGGGCCCAAAGAGTGCAGGACAGAAATGCAGGCACTATCCTTGAGGTAGGACTGCCTGTTGGGGAGTTTGCGGGCGTTGTGATCTCGTGGTGCATTAGGCTATCATGCTAAACTGACATGTTCAGCATGATGTGCCTCTGGACGCCTCTGAGCGCCTTCCGCTGAACAAGTCTGATGCTGAAGCACACCAACCGTTGAAACTTCGAAATCATCACTCGACGATTATGTGGCCATCCGACTTTGCCTTCGCGAATGCAAAACTGAAGCTGATACCAAGCCATATCAAACCAGGAAGGTTATAGTGGATCCCCCATATCCCGTATAGCTCAACCTCCGAAGCTTCCACAGGCCCAATCACCGCCAAAGAACGCCCGGAAGGACAACGGCGTCGTAACGCTGCACCACGTAGCGCAACAACACCTTGCACCATTTCCTACAAACTGCAATCACCACCACTTCCACCACCCCGACAGCTCATGCTCTTACTCCTGCTTCCAATGACCTGTGATGCAGAGCAGTATTCGAGTCCACACCAAAACACCGCAGGTGCCGATGCAGATGGAATCGTTATTGACACCCTCCTGACTCATAACAACTCAATTCCAAACACTCATGCACAACCCGCAGCTGCCTGCTCCGATGACCGTCCAAGACGTGCTGCCACGCTGCCTTTCGCCAGCAGCACTTGACCACTTGCCGACTCTACTTCGAAGAGCAATCTTCCAACTAAAGGCTACCAGTATGATCCAGGCGCTTTCCAAACAGAATCATGGCGAGGTGCTGACAGAAGTCCGGAGCTGCTCCCGGAGTCTGGGAGTGTATGCACCTTCCCGGGAGCGACGGGTGAAATGATTGATTCGTATCCAAGGGGTGGAAATCACTTACACGTCAGAAAGGATGACGACCTCACGAAGATGGTGATGATATCCATCTTGACACAGTGGTTGGACCCTGGGCGCCTCCAAGAGGACTGTAGGCAAGAGTGTGGATGCCATGCGCCACTTGACACAAGCGGAGCTCCTGGCTCGACGTCACCAGTCTCAATGTGGAACCTAGGAGCTTTCCGCGAATTCTGCCTGCAACGACGAATGTTAGGAAGTTAGGGGCTTGAGGACCAAACGCATCAGAAGAAAGGCCTGCGTTTCACTGCTGTTGCTGAGCTTAAGTTTTAGTATTCGTAGCTGAGCGAATCTCTGCCTCTGCACTCTGTAGAATCTGAGCCCTATCACTCCCTAAACTCGAAATCCCACGGAGCCTTACACACAATCCCCTATACCTATGCTGGATGTCTTTGCTCACGTTCTAGACCCCGAAACCTGGAGTTCCTCGTTCATTGGGCACGCCGCCGACACCTCGATCTGGTTGTACAGCGGCATTGGCAAGCCGGCCGCCTCGATCCTCAGAACTTTTGAGATGCACTCATTCCTCTGGGGCAAGACAAACACTGCTGACAAGAAGGCAAGGCTAAGACTAGGAGAACAGGCTGAGGACACTCAACGAGCAAGATTTCTTGATGGTGGTGGTGGTAGTGACTGGTAGTGGTGGTGGTGGTGGTGGTGGTGGAGGAGTTTAACCATCCCGACGAACACACCTACAGTACCAGAAGAACAGCACCCATGACGCCGACGTCGACGAATGACTGCGATCACGACCTGTGACGGTCACAACGACCAGTGAAAGCATAGTGCGAGTTCCAGGCGTGCTAGCTCTACCATCAGGTATATTGTCATCGTAAAAGAGACTAGCGCCAGAAATCGGAACAGAACCTAAGTCCGCAACGCACGACGCTCCAAAAAGATTTACAGGCTGCTGCTTTGGAGTCCGCGGAACCCTGCCCGGCCCCTGTATCCCGAGCTCGTGACAGCGACCCGGATAGACCCCACCGCAAGGTGCCGATCTCGTCAAATTCGGGTTTGAGTGAAGCTAAATACGTCCGAAGCTCTCTCTCAAGTGGCTGCAGTCGAAGTTGGACACGCCGATCTCCTCAAAGCTTGGTTTTCAATTTTCCGGCCGTAAACTAAGGCAGCAGTTTGCTGCTCAGCCTGTGGAGTTTGAGATGTCTGGGCCTGAGGGAGAGAGTCCTTCCTAGTCCTAGCGACCTGCGGCGGATGGTCAGAACTTCCAGGCAACCCTCCTTGGCCAAGCCATCTTGTTGTGCTCGCATCAGTTGCCTGAATCGCCGCGCTGGTCTCCATGTGCAATAAGATGTAGGATCGAAGCAGCACGACAGAACATAACAGAACTGTACATAAGAGCAACAACCAGGGAAACCGAAATACATTCAGTAAACGCTTCTGCGTGCAGTACCCAATCTGGACAGCACTGGCAGTTGAAGTTGAACCAGTTGAAGACATTGCTAACAACTCATGGTAATGACAGCGCTGACAGCGATAATAGCTTTGGCCATGCATAGGAGCATCGTCTTGTGCTGAACTGATTTTATGTTCATGTATGGCCGTGCTTACCGTGATGCGAGGAGTGATATCCCTCGTGAGCCAATGCATAAAATCTTATCTTCTTGGCGTCCCTATGACAGACCAGGGCATGCGAAGCCCCGAATGGTTACATGAATGGGACGTGGTGACATGCCCCTCGCTCACTTCGATGTCCTCGTGAAAACTTATGGTCCTGATGGTCTCACCCGTTACACGGAAGAACGAGGAATCGCAAGAACCTTGTCCGAGTGCGCATTCGGGCTTGTGGCCTCCAGGCCAGCAGGCGACACTCCTTCCAGCTGCCCTGCGCCTCGGATGATGGAGCTGTGGTGAAGCTCATCGTCAGCAGCCGCGTCTTTTTGGAAGCCGCAGAAAATCAAGGCTCCCTTTGGCCATGCTGTCTAGATATTCCGTGCCGCGATCAGCAGAATACACAAAGATCGCTATCACCACCACCACCACCGCGAGCAGCAGCATATTCCTCCTCCTGGTCATCGCACACAAGTGCCGCAAGACATCAAGCATCAGTGACCGGCATCAGGAGCCACCAGACCCTCAAGATAATTATGATCACGATGGCTGTGGCGATGTTGATGACGGCGATCGTGGTGATGATGAAGACTCTTATGCTGAAGATGACCATCTTCATCACCTTCATCATCATCATCATCATCATCATCATTATCATCATGGTGCTTCTGGTCTTGTTGTGCTGGGCATCAACAGCAACGCTGTTACGACAAGCTTGGCCTGTGATGTACACAACTACGATCACTTGCCCTGGTGATAGCATCAACGCTGTGATGAAGAAGATTGTGGTTCGTTTGTTGGTGCTGCTGTTGATGCTATGATGGCTATTTGGTGCTTTGGCTGACTCAAGCAGTGCTTCTAGTGAGCTCTTCTAGTGCTTCTGGAACTCTCGTTGCATATATTCGTTGATATCCTGTTGTTGCTTGTTGCTTCTGCTGTTCGTGCTGTCCGTGGCTTCAAGGCAACTCTTGGTAGTAAGAGTTGGGATTACGTGTGCTACAAGCCAAGCCAAGCTTGATTCGCAAAGTATTGCTGCCGCTGCTACTGCTGCCAATGCTCTTCTTCGATCTTCTTCTGACTATTGAGCTCAGCGGTTGTCTTCTCAAATTTGCGTTGATCGTTCGTACTTTCGAGAGTTGCCAATACTGTAGCACCCAGCGAGCCAACCACAAATTCAGTCAACCAACCAGGATGATCCGATAACTTCACTGAATGATTGAATCGACCAACCGACGCCAGTCAAACGTGTATTCGTTGTTTTTGTGTGCTTTGCTTCTTTGCTTGCTACCTGCATCAACAGGCTTGCTATACTCTTGCTCCTTCCGCTGCTGCGGCTTCGAAGCGTGGCATCACAGCGAAAGTGCTGCAACCAGGGCGCTGCGCAACTGGGAAACGTGGCATTGTCTCCCAACGGTCGGCCCGGCGTGTGGAGCAGCAGTACCTCGCGCAAGAGCTGAGGTTTTGAGGCTTGGGGCCCATGCAGATGACGACCATGGTGGTGGCAAGCAGGCTCATATAACAAGATACCGAACTATGCCGTAACTATGCCGTGATGGTGTAAGCGCGGATCTTGTACTTCCCACTAGAGAAGTCTGCGCAAAGACGGAAGCAACCACGAAATCCTCGACCCCAGCAGCCTAAACAAAAAGCCCTCACGAGGGTCCCCCGATCGCCAGTTTAATGTTTCGAAATAAAGCAAAGCTGACCCTCCTGGTTCCTGGACTGGATGAAACTATTAGTTAGTTCGAAAGCCGGGTGGCATCTGCATAGCCGCCGAGCTGCTGCGCAGTTTGGGAGATCGCCAGCTCGACTTCCTCTCTGGCTCTCAGATGACACTGGTGTTGAGAAATTCGGGGCGGAGCTCCAACTATTGTCGTTGGTATGCTGACCTGTTGTGATAAACACATGTTGCTCCACCCTGCACAAAGGCAAGACGACCGGAACCGACGACCCCGAACCAGAGGCATGACACGCAATAAATTTGAGCTTGCTGAATCCCCAACTCCGACATCTAGCACTCTACAAGAATTGAATCGTCTTGACAGGTCGCCAACGCTCTCGTCCCAACTTGCAGATCTATGTCCAACACTCCCCAAAGTCGCGATCGGAAGCTTCGGGGTGAGGATTTAAGGTCCCACACTTCCATGCACCCCCCGTCTCTCCTGTGCCTCACTGAGCGGAACTTTGCCTATGTCGATCCGGATTTCTGGTCATTGTTTAGCATCAGCTTCTAGGGCTAGGGCATATCTCGGGAATCTAGGGCCGAGGAAGGAATGCTGGGGAGTATACTGAAAGTGTAGATCCTAGAGTTCGGGGTGAAGGATCACGAGTTTCGAGCTCGGGAAGCTCCGGATGGCAGGATCAAGCGAGGGGCTGGCAAGCGACTTGCTGCAATGCCAGCGCTGAAGGGTTAAGGCCTGCTGTAAGTTGATTTTGGTTGGATGTTGGGGTGTTCGGCATGTCGTAAGATCCGATTCTTCTGCGCGACTGAACGGAGCCACAAAGATAAACTCATGTTGGAACCTGCATAAACACTACGATAAAATCACACGAGTATCAGCGGATGTGCGTAGAACGACCATGAGACCGGCAGATTGCCATTCTACCTCTGTGGTCTGCTGTCTTGAAATGGCTTGACAACACAGATTGCCAGAAACGTTGTCAGTCCAGGCACTGATGACAGTCACCGCCGAGCGAGGAATGGCTTTGGCGATTGCAGCGGCTTGAATCCCTTGCTGCCTCGAGGCAGTCCATGGATGCGGCCCCGGAAATAAATCCCAAGCAGTAGGACCCGTAGAAAACGAGGTCTTCAGGCTGAACCAGGACATGGGTCTGCAGGTCTCGGCACGGAGAGCTGATCGACAACTCGAGTCTACAAAGACAAAGACTTGCAGTCACAACGCTTACAACAGCACCAGCATGAGTGCAAGGCTCATAATCACAGCAAGAAGCGGCGCAAAGTTACTGAAAGTAGAGCTGGCAAGCAGAACCATCGGAATACTTGCTGTTGAGATTCTGCTGTTCTGGAGTTTCGAATCTCACGGACTCGCCGGCACCGTTAGCATGACACAGAATGAAACGCCAAGGACCCTGTGGTGACGCAGAAACTGCCCACCACATTGACCTGACTTCTCAATCCCGGAACTCGAAAGGACCCCAAACTCAACGAACATCCTCTGCTACTGTGGCGGTGTCAATCTGATGTCGTTTTCAGAACTCTTCTTCGGAACCCACTTTCACGACGAGCTGCTGCTCGTACACGAAGGCAGTATCCTGCACACTTAGGTTCCCCCTATAGAACCCGAACAGTGGTAAAGCGGCTTGCTATGCACCTGCAATCGCCTGCCTTTGCTGTTCTGGTTGGCTGAGGTGCTAATCAAGAAACAAGTTTCTGCAACAAGTCAAACGGACACCTGCTGAGGCCTTGGATCTGTCGGGGCGGCGCATGATTTTGTCGTTAAGGTCTATGTCAGCCCAGCTCTAGGTGCAACCCTCAGAGACAGCTTCGCGCCCTAGGGGTCTAAGGGTAAATCTGAGCTACAACCAAGTCATGCGGAAACTCAGGCAGCACTTTGTTTGCAGGGTTTACGGTGGCTGCCTGCCTGCCTGGACCATACAGGCATCGTTCTTGTCAATCTTTCCATCGATGCTACATGATTGTTGGCTAAGGGCGACTTGAAGTCTCCTCATAGTTCAGACTTTGATCTGCAAACCCACCGCATTAACTTGTTAGCCAGCGTGCTTAGCACTGCCCCACCCTGTGTACGTAAGTCCACCCTGCATCTAAACAAGAACACCTAACCCGTTGCTGCATGCAGAGCGTCAAAAAGGCGGCCGTTCAGGTCCAAGAAGGCATCGCAGGCGAGTGCCGTCCTTTATGGAAGTGTTCCCTTCAACAAGGGCTGGACTATTGCAGCTTTTGAAGTGACGAAGCTGTAACTGAGCTGGAGTGTATTCCTGTGCAAGGAGTGCTGCATAGGACTCAAGATTTGAAAGAAAACAATCCCGAACCTTTTTGGGTCGATGGGCTTTTGGGGTTCTAGTTTAGCATCTCCGTCCAAGGATGGCAGAAGCCAAACGCAATCCACACAACCTTGTTGCATTTGCGCTGAGATATTGTTGACACCTTTAGCCACCGTCTTCAGAACGGGACTTCCATGGTCGGGGAGGTCTTCTTAAAAGTGGTTGTATCACGTTTGGGATTCGCACGCCTTCAGAGGCACGCTCCCGATGTGTGCATCCGAACCCAACACTCTGAACTCGTCCCGTAAACCAAAACCCCCCAAAGCCAGGACCTGTCGTGGGCACACAACTTCAACACAAACTCAAAGCACCCGGTTTCAACGATCCGCTGATGTCGTGAAAAACAGCCATTCGCGGTCTGGCTTCGCCCGGTCATTGCGCTCGAAGTGCGCCAGGCCCAAGCCTGGCTCAGATTGAATTGGGGGAAACCGCGCTGCACTCTCCCTGCTTCCTTCGTTTGCGTCTCATTGTCATTACTTGCACTTTTCTGATGCTAATATGACGAGGGCGGCTAGGAGTCTTAGCGTCTTACCGATAGCAACAGTACCAACAACCAACACCGTAGTGAACCTGAGAATACACACTATCGTACTACTACTTGGAGGACCTCTGCCACTGCTTGCTGTCCTCCTCCTCCTCATGCTGCTGTCCCTACAACTTCGACTTCTGCTGCTGCGGCTACTGCTGCTGCTGCTGCTGCTGCTGCCACCACCAGCACCACGACGATCCTTTGGGGGGGTTTATACTTCTACCTCTGCCGCGACGACTAACCACAGGTGACGGGAATGACATCAACATTGCATCGGTGATGTACGCAAAGTTCTTGCATTGGCATCGGAATAGCTTGAGAATAGCGCACCCAGAAATCATCAAAACCCCTGATTGACGGCTTCGGGGCCTTGAAGTTGGAAGTGAATCACATGCCACTCACGACTTGCGCTGCAGGAAGTAGCACCAAGCAAGCGTTAGCAGAACACGCGATGCGCACAACGACGGTTGAACATTCGGTGCCACCCATACGTGCCTACGCAAGATTTGAACCCACCGCGGGGAATCCAAAGCCAAAGCAAAAAGATCCTCAATGTCGTGGTCCGAACCGAAGCCTGTGTTTGGAGGTCCGTGAGCACTACTTCGCGATCCAGTCCAGGCCATGATCTGAACAAGGCACCGGCAGCAGGGAGCCGAGAGTGGTGTTGCGGCACCCAGGGTGCCACATGGAAGACCATGTCCTGAAAGATGGGCTTTGCGCTTTCGGGCACTCGATAAAATGTGAGTTGCAAGAGAGAGCAAAAACATGACCCACTTGGCTGGAAGAAAAAACGTCCTCAATTCAGTGCAACAGCTCGTTCGGCCAGCTAAGCAGTAAAGTAAAGCTGTATCATCAAAAGCATCCCCATGCTGCAGCCTCGGGTTGAATTCAGTTGAGAGCTGAGTATCAATTTTGACTTCTTTTTATTTTAGAACGCTTGGTAGAGTTCAGGAAAGCTGGTGGTGCAGGAATGCAGCATCTTCTCGGGAAGCCGTTGATCCAGCTGAGCATCCAGACTCAGGAAGCAATGGTCATCCGAGAGCAATGCTAATGCCAATGCAGTCGAACGAGAAGCGATAATTTTTTCGGACGAGTACCTTGTGTCCTCTTTTGGGGCCAACCCCTGCTCGAAGCCTTCCGTTTTGCGGCCCAAACTGAAGGATATGGGATTCGCCCGGGTGTCGTCCAGCTACAGCTAAACCTTTGACTTTGCCGCCCAACTGCGAACTGAACTGAAGGCCGAAGGTTTGAGAACCTCTGTATTTGGGGTGGAGTGTTGTAAAGGATTGAAGATATGTTTCGGGCAGACTATTCTACAAATGTGCAGTGGCAGTGCAGTGGTTGCCGGGCAACTATGTCAGAGCAACTGCATGTGCACCCGAACTTGGGGTACAGGATGTAGCTTCGGCTGCCAAGCATCCGAAGCCGTCACGCAGCCACTGCATTGTATCTCGCGAAGTCTGGTCTCGTCCACGTCCTCTGTCAGAGCATACGCAACATCTTTATATGCGTAATGCTTGATGCACGGACCCTTGCAGCTCGGCACAGCGAGGGGGAGAGGACAACAAGCTCCAGGTTCAGACTCGTGACTGGACGTTGTAAAATCCAATGCCCGAAATCATTTGCAGCTCATCCGCAGCGACAAACTCCGGCTTCGAACCCTGCAGCCTTCAACGTTGTCATAATAAAGGTCTCGAGTCTGCCCGACATTGAATTCCAAAGATAACACTTAACCCAAGCGGGAGCCTCACCATAGCGGCGTAGCAACTCCTCAGTCTTCTGGACCATGGGCCACCTCTGCAGTTGGCAAATAGTTCCTTCTGGAAGCTGATACGGCTGATACGGAGTTGAACCGATGTTACAGCGGTTCAATCTTCTCACACCGTTTGATGAGGCCACGACACCGGAAAAGGAGGCAAAGCTAGCAATTCAAGGTCGCTCGCCTCAGCCGTTACCTCTCGGCTCCTTGCATGCTCCACGGCATTGGTGTGGCCCAAAAAATGTTTACGTTTCGACCATAGCCTTGAGAAGCTGAAGCTTGGGTAGCCTCAGGATCTTGCAACTTGTGGATCTGCGGTCGTTTAGGACCGATTCTCGTGTCTTGTGGCAGCTGCTGCGATCAGGGCCGGGCTAAGTTGCCTCGCAACAGCTGAACAGGGAACTCGTGTGCATGTGTGATCGTGCGCACAGTGACAGCTTTGATCATCCTTACAGCTGCTTTGTCTGTCTCATCTCAACACAGCTGAGATGCAGCTTCGCGATGCGGCGGTTCATCTCGAAGAGCATCTGCCAAAGGCTCACACCGTATTCATGTACCAGTGCAACATGCATGCTCTTGCGCAAATCGGCGCGAAGCACCCGTGCTTTCACGGATGAGTGTGATGAACGAGATTCGGTACTAAAATACCAGTAAGCATCAGCATCTTTGCATTGATCTGCCCCTACCCTTGGAAGTTGCTCTGCAGTGTCTGTGCCAGCATCCGAAGGTGCCTTCCTGGCAGCAGCCAGGAGATGCTTCCTGTGCTCCGAATGGTGCTGTCGAATTCTGGCTTGTGTCGTAGTGCGGAAGGCTTGACTAAGTCAAAAAACAATATGGCTTTCTGTCGGGACAGATAGAGACAAGTTAACACCAAGTGGGAAAGATTTCCGCAGCCAGACGGGACTCCAACTTCACGGTTCGGTGCTTTTCGACGAGAGCACGGGATCACTAGCACAACCCTAGAATGCAGCATCCTCGTCACGTCCTATGTGCAGATTTGGCTGAATTTGCTCGAAGGAGGTAGCTCAGCTCCCGGATTTCGCTTCAGCAAGCCTAGTTCACGCCTCGTCCAAATGCCCAGCCGCAAACCCTGAACCCGACGCATGCACACCCTGAACCTTAAATCTCTAAATTCGGAAACATTCACGACCGTTACGGAGCCACCTTCAACACCGTGACGCCCCCGTCCAATCCACAAGTCAGGGCGCAGTCCGACGATGGCCTGGGCCGGCGGCGGTGCCGCGGGAAAGCGATAGATGAAGCGAAGCCTGCCAAGGATTTCAGGTCTTGTTCCAATGTGGCCTTCAAGACTTCAAGATAACGGATAGAAGGATATTTCATGAGCGCATCATGCCCAAAGCAGTAAAGTTTCGGGGTTGAGGGACTGCTGCAGAAGTTACTTGTGCACCACTCAGGGTGCAGTGTTGCTGCTTGTGCAGCTTTGCGGGTGGATCTACGCCCGGCTTAGGTGGCGGAGCTGCAGGTGCGAATCCACTCGAAGCCTGTACTGCCGCCACCCCTGGGATCTGCAACTGCTGAGACTCAAACAACTCGCGGCACGAGGCTCAAGAGACCAGAGCCCAGCAGTAGAAAGAGGCAAGTCAACTGTGCCCCTTTAGTCCATGATCTACTCAACCGAAGGCATAACTTCGGTCTTCTCACAACCCATACCAAAACAATATAAAGACAGCACAGCCCCCGAACGCAAAGACGTATGTTGAGAGCACCCAAGAGACGAAGAGTTATAGTTACAGCCCCAGCCCGGCAATAGCCAGGCGCCCCGGCCAGCCCAGCAGGGCCCCTGCGCAAAAGGCGCCATCTTCTTGATCCACCTCCTTTCGTTAAAGTCCAGGGGTTGGGGGTGTCGGGCTCAGGGGTTAGAGGCTGGGAGTTTGGGCGTCCTGTCGTATGGAATCTTCGCCACCGAGTCCCTAACGAAAGCCGACTGGTTGGGGTTGCAAGACCCAGTGCCAGCAGAGTCAAGCCTTGAAATTCAGCAAGGCTATAGCATTGGAACCGGTAAAATGACTTACGGTGCACAACTCCACTTTTCCAAGCTTGTCTCCGCTGCTTTGGGCAGGGCCTCAGGGTGAAGAGCTCAGGCGGAACATTTGCAGGGATTCAGACGAGTCTGACGAACAGAACCTACAGACTCCTCCCGTCATGGCAGAGAAAGCAGCTACGATATGATTCGGAACCACCTCCAATGCACCTGACATGATGAGCCACCTGACCGCTCCATGACTTGTCCTGAGAACCCCAAGCCCCAAGATGTGAGGGATAGACTCGGATAGACCTTGGGGGTGAGCGGTTTGTGAATGGTGCACTGCCTTCACGAAGGAAGCTCGGAATTTAGCACAAGCTCAACTTTGTTGACCACTGTGCCTTTTCGCGTGAGTCTTGACGATGGCAAGTCGCGCTGTTTAGGACTTAGGGTTCTGAGTGCGCAGTTTCGTAGCATGTCCGAAGCCGAAATTCTTGACAGTACACCGTACAAGCCGCGCCCGTGCATGTTTCTCGGCGCTCTCATGTCAGCTCCTTCACCAGATCCCTCAGCTCCATCTCCATGTCCACCACCGCCTCCCAGGCACAGTTGGGCAGGTGGTTGTAGGTCGGCATGGCTCTACTCCGAGGACCGAGGGTTTAGGTCGCGTCAGCACAAACAAGCACTTCATGTTGCCTTAATGGCCCTCATGCCTACACGTCTTGCGTGTGATGCACCCGAAGTCCGATCTACTCACCAACCCGAACCCCTTTCTCCCACAGTTTAGAGTGGACGACGTAGACTGTGGAGCAGCCTGTATGCTGCAATGCCGAAATAAAACAATCACAAAGGAACGACCTCCACCACCTTGCCATCACCCAACAGAAAGCACCACCGACCCCGTAGCACGGTGGAACTCATCTGCCTTGATGCAGATCCGTAGGCTCTGCTCAATCAGCTCCGGGCCAAGATCCTCCGGCGCCAGGAAACCCAGTGCCTAAGATCAAGCAAAGCTTGTACTTCTGATGAGAGGGGCGAGAAGGCAGCGATGGAACGAAGCTTGTGGTTGGAATTCGCACTTTGGGCATTTTTGTGAGGTGCTACGGGTCGGTTCAGAGATGACGTTCAGTGATTGGTTCGCAAGGCTGGGGAACGGGAAAGGGCTTGACAGGCTGTCAGGGCGGACGCGCCTGTGACACTGTCGTGGTGGGGAGCTAAGTTGTAACCGGGGTCGCACCCATCTGGCATTGGGGTCATTGTACGGCCTCTTGGCATTCCGATAGCACGCAGGCACCAACTCGTCATGCAAAGTCCACAGGCTCAAAAACCCGAAGACCATCGAAGACCAGAACTCTCAATACCTCAACTGCAGATTCTCAAACGGTGCAACTTTTTGTCAGCCAGGTCTCCTTGAACGCGAGCACATGTGTGGCAGGCGCACCGAGCAGGCGCGTGCCGAAAAATCCTGAAACTGAAAGCATGGACATTCACTCTTGCAGGTCCTGGGACAGGAGCGCTTTCTTTCAGGTGACGGCGGGCGAAACATGTGATGTGAGCTGCAGCGGACAAGTTCACGCGCAGTAGACCGTCTGGGGTTTAGGGACCACTGGTTCAGGCTCTCACGACGAATTACAACTGGAGAGCCAGTTGACATTGCACACCTTGAGGATAGTATCAAAGCACCATTGCATGATTGCGTGTGTGTGTGTGTGGCAAGTTTCATTGTGACCATTGACTGCTGCACCTATGTGCACAAGAGGGGCTATGAGAAGAGGATGGGACATCGCATTGGGTGGAATTTGCTCTGTGCAGCCACCTCCCTGAACGTAGCGCTCGTCGGCAAACCAACGCTCGTCTATGTCCTGGCCAAAGCAAACCTAGGTATGGGTTTCCTGTCGTCGTGCATACTTCGAGGTCTCAAATGTCACCCCTCGTCGTTTTCAAGGTCGGTCTGTGTTTCCAAGAGGTTTAAGCCTTTCAGCCTTGACCCCGAGCCGGCCCACTGGGATCTCGTTTTGGGTTGCGGGTGTGCTCGTGGTTGACAGTGTCGAAGTCGCAGGGTTTGCGATGGAGGGTGGGCCGACTGAAATAATTCCTATCACAGACCCTAGGTTTTTTAGGGGTAGGATCCTCCTTCTCAGAAGCCTTACAAAGTAACATTGCCTGCTTCTGGTACTCCATCATCTGCAAGAAGACCATCCTCAGAAGACAAGTTGAAGGCTCGCAGTTGGGGTGGCGGAGTTTTTCCTACCGAATCATCCAAGCCTACCAACAAAGACAGTCCACTCAGAGGGTTTCGATTGAAACGTATAAGAAAGCCCAGCCTGCTTGGCCTTTGGTTGGTGGCCCGATAAGTAAGTACATCAGCAAATGCATAATAAATCAATTGAAGATTTGGCTATTTATTTTAGTTAGTTAGCTAGTTAGCTAGCTAGTTAGTTAGTTCGTTCGTTAGTTAGCTAGTTAGTTGGTTAGCTAGTTAGCTAGCTAGCTAGTTAG